GCCCATAACTTTTGACTCAGGTGTCCAAATGAGCTGTTCTTTAATGATCTGGAAAGGTGACAGAATTGCCTATAAATATGTCTCTAATAGACTTCTCGAAAAAAAGCTTCTAAGAGGGTTGAATTGCTGTCCAAAGTTAGAGTCAGATTTATGTCCAAATTTTTTCTGAAATTGTATTGTGTTCTTCTTTATAGATTTCAGTTCTTTAGTTTGTAAAACTTATTATTTCAGTTGGATTCAAGTTCTTTCATGTTTATTGAAGTATTCTTATATATAATCATGGTTGGCTAAACTCTTTCTTGGATCCAAATCAAGGATAATGGTGATTGAGGTGAGTTCTTTAGGATATGAATGAATCTTAATGTTTATCTTCTTATAGGATATGAATAGGTGAGTTCTTTAGGATATGAATGAATCTTAATGTTTATCTTCTTATTTTCTTCATGAATGATTTATTATTGTAAAGAAATTTTAGAAATCATTTAGGTAATTTTATAATCTTGAATTTTTATGCACAAACTTTAGTTTTGGTATAGAGATTGCTTGATTCAATGTCTTACTTAATATGAAAGTACTTGTTCATTCTTAAGCAATAATCAATCTTCATCTTTCTAATCTTCATTGTAATATCTTCTGATCTAATATCACCATCGTTGATATTAGGTTGAGTTATCTTATATATGTTGAAGAAATCACCAATACATCACCATTAAAATTGATTTGGACCAAGACTTACTTTTTCTTGTCATTTAAAATCTATTTACATTTTTTTTTTATCTTTAAAAACAAATCCATCAATTATTTTCAACCAAGTTATTGTTAATTTAATTTCTCTTGAGTTTTTTTTGTTACTTAGCTTAATTTCCAGATCTAGCTCTCTGTGGATATGACCTCGATCTTACCGAGTTAATTGCTACATCGCACACTCGTGCACTTGCGAGTTAAAACAAGCCGATCATAAAAAGCGGTCAAGCAGATGTCAATTCAGCTGGACAAATGACACTGTTTGGAGTAAGCTTGATAGGATGTTAATAAATCCCTCATGGTCTTCTTTGCATCGTCTTACTCATGTACACTTTGAGCCTCCAGGTGCATTTACTGATCATTCCCCTGCAGCAGTTAGGTTGGATCACTATGCACAGGGTAGGCGCAACTTCAAATTTTTCAATATGTGGGCTACACACGATCAGTTCCTGCAGGTGATCTCTTCTTGTTGGTCTTCTCCTATACATGGTACTCCAATGTATATTCTCTGCCGTAAGCTTAAGCTCTTGAAAGGGCCCTTGAAGGAGCTTAATCGTTTTCATTTTAGTCATATTTCAGAGCGGGTTTCTCGACTTGAATCTCAGCTGGAGCAACTCCAAACTGCTTTCCAGCATGACAAGGACAACCAGCTCTTGTTCGAGCAGGACAAGCTTCTTCGTTCCAAACTATCTTCTCTTAAGTTTGCGGAAAAGCAGTTTTTCAGTCAAAAAATAAAATGCAAGTTCCTCAAGGATAGTGACAGAGGTTCTAAGTTTTTCCATGCTCCATCAGAACATCCATGAAGAGATGAGGAACCTTATAGAAACACATGCATGTCCAGCCCACGTGTTACAGCATAGAAGCCTGAAAACATCCCATCAGTTCAGACGACGAAGCCATTATGCACAGCCCTTAGCCAAAGAACCAGCAGCAACTGAAGAGTTCACCCAGCCCACGTGTTGCAGCATAGAAGCCGAAAACATCCCATCAGTTCAGATAACAAAGGCATTTTACAGCTCCTAGCCAAAAAACTAGCAGCAACTCAAGAGCTCCCCCATGTAGGGACGTGAATCGTGGAAATTGTCAGCCAAACATCCCATGAAACGAAGCAGAAATCATGGAAATTGTCAGCCAACATTGCAGAGATGAGGGAGGCTCAGCCAAGTAATGTCCAAGACAATAAGTTCACGGGGCCCACTAAGAGCTCTTTTTTTTTTTATCAAATGTAAGAATTGTATAGATTAAAAAGAGCAAGACAAGCTTGCAATACAAGCTGAAAACTAGCAGAACAGTACATACACCATAGCAGGCATAATAACAAAGCTAAAAGTCAAAGGGAACATGCTCCTTAAAGACTGAACCAGGGGAATAGGATCCCATATTCAAATAGCAAGAACATCCCTCGTGTGGGGAAAAGCCTAAGAGGCTCGAGTAGGGAAAAGCCTAAGAGAGGGCCCAGCAAGATGGCCCTGCAACAAAAAAGCCAATATGCATGAGCCATGCTTATGGCGACAACAACCAGCAGCGGAGCAATCAGCAGGAGACTAGACCCACACGTCCAACCAAGAGCAAGGGGCATCCAATGCAAGCACTTTAATAGGGCACACCAGGATCTAAAAAACAACCTCCTATTCTGAAGCAAAAGACCAACAGCAAACAGCTTCAAACCAACACAACCAGTAAGGGCATGAGCATATCTGGACAACAACATACCAAATAGCAACAAACAGTAGCAAGCAATAAGACCCCATGACAGGGCTTATACCGAACCTGACCAGTAGCCACTAAGCATACAAACCAACTGCAGAAAATCTGCACAAACTATAAGGCAGGCCTAAGAGGCAACAAACAAGAACATGTAACCAACTACAAATAGAGGCAAACAAGCCAACAAGAAGAGGCTGGAAAATTCTACAAACAGTCCCAACCAGCAAAAAACTGCACCGACTATAAGACAGGCCTAAGAGGCAACAAACAAGAAAAAATAAAGTAAACCCAGAGGAGACACAAGGATATATTCCTTGGCCTAAATCCACAAGAGTATATAATTCAAAGGGAGGAAGAGGGGGTGCTGCCCTGAACCCTAGAGTCAGCTGAGGAGGAGGTGCTGAAAGGTCTGCCACACCTTCCGAATGGCACCCCTGATCGTCCGGTGACAGAGGCAGCTTTACTTCTGGTCAAGTATTGTCTCCTTGGAGGGGATGCTACGGCGGCTGCATAGCAAGCTTCAGATACATGAACAACCTGAGGAGAGCCAGAAGAAACTTCAGGGGATCCTAGATGCGGAGTCAACTTTGCCTACTTATTCACAGAATATCTTGGGCCCTTGTCGACAACTACAGCTGGCTCAGCTGCCATTGGGTCAATCGATGGTTCACCATGAGGTTCCTCCCTGGGTGACTGTTTTTCAACAGCTTCAGTGTCAGCTGAGGGATTAGAGCATCTAGAGGGACCAGCAGGCTAGGGGATGCTTTTTCCGTTTATGCCTGAAAACTGAGTTGCATGTTGAAGTGGAGTGTCCCAATGTTTTGCACTGCTTGCAAAATCTGGGTAATGATTCATATACAACTTCCTGTGCTTTGGAAACACCATTCGGGAGAGATATCAATCAATGATGATAATTCAGCAAGCAAGTCAATCTCAATCAACACTCGAGCATAGGAAAGCCGAGTCATGGAGGATGTTGGAGAATCGGCATGCACTGGTTTCCCAATCACACTAGCTAGTTTAGAGAGACACAATGGGGACAAGCACTGAAGGGGAAGGTTGGGAAAGCGAACCCAAGCTGGCATCCTAACCATATCAAAGGTGTTAAAATCAAAATAATCAGGCATGGGTTTCAAAATCAATAACCAGCCATAGACAGAGTATGGCCCTCCATTTAGCACTTCAGACATATCCAATTCAAAAGCAAACTTAAATATGAGCCAGCCAAAGTCGTGCATAAAGAAATTGACATTACATTTCCATGCAGAATTTACAAACTTGGAGATGGCTGAATAGCCAGGAAATTTTTCAGTTATGAACCCAATTAAACTACACCGCCACAATGCTTTGTGTTCGCCCAAATCAAATTCAAGAAAATTGCAAGAAGATGTAGCAGTGTAATCAGGGAAATGCACTAAGGGAGGAGGCGATGGAACGGTAGTACCTGAAGGATGTTGTGATGTAGAAGGACCAAGGCTCCCTGAAAAGAGTGTACCTTGCGGTGGGGAAATTGGCGAAGGAGTAGTTCCAACCTTCAACCTAGAGTTAAGGTTACCAGCGGCAAACCATGAGTTCAGCGAACCAGACTTAGTAGGGAGACCACTACGTGGTCTAATAAAGACAGGGGAGCCACTCTCTTGGTTCATAAAATTCTGCATGGTGTTTGCATGAGATTCTACAAATACGTTGCATTTATTGTGACTGGGCGTGAGCAACTCTGATTGGCTGGTTTCTCCCTTGGACTCTTGTGAACCTAGCGGCTCTTATATGTTTTGTCTTGCCTGTTACGTGCTGAGCCTCTCTCATCTCTGCATGGTTTCCACGTCCTTGCATGGATGGGCACATGAGTTGCTGTTGATTATTTGGCTGGGAGCTGCATGGTGTCTTCGTCGTGAGCTGATGGGATGCCTCTATCTCCTATGCTGTATCACGTGGGCTGGGCATGCATGGGTTTCCTCGTCTCTACAAGGATGGTCTGCTGGCCAATTATGTCGGGTGTCTGTCTCTGTTTGGTTGAGTTGCCTCTGCGTGGTCCCTTCGATCTTGTGCGCATGAATTGTGAGTTGCTGCTTTTAGGCTGTTTTGGCTGTGTTAAGTTGATGGCTTGCGGAGTTATACGGCTCAGCTTGGCTCCGGCTTCTATGGTCTGGTCCTTTCATGACCTGCATGGTTTTTGCATGTTTTATCTGCATGGTCGTCCTGCAGTTTCTATTGGCTGGATGTAAACAATCTTTCTCTTGCTAGCATTCTAGGTTGGAATCAGAAAAGTGGTGGGTTCACCTCTAATGCTTATGCCTCCCTCAGGATGCAAAGCACAACATTAAAATGGGAGAAGATAGTCTGGAAGCAATGGGCTCTTCATAGACATAATTCCACTCCTTGGCTTGCTATGCATGGGAAGCTTCGTTCTAAGGATCGGCTGAAGTTCATTCCAACTGACACATTATGCATGTTTTATAGGCAGGCCGAGGAAAGCCATGGACACTTCTTCTTTGGCTGTAATTGGACGTCTTCCCTATGGAGTACAGTGAAATCTTCACTCATCAACGTGGCTTGGTGAACTGCTTCTAGAGATGAGTCCTGCTGTGATTTTAGGAGTTGTTTTGGGATGTCCCGTACTTTTCTTTTGGGTTGGTCTCTGTTATCTTGCGTGGTTCTATGTGAGCATGCATGTGCTTCACGTAATTAATCTTCTTGAACAGCTCCTTTGCTTAAGTGGGTGGAAGCACCTCTGTCTGGTATTCATTGGCTCTATCGAAGGGATGATGCAGAGAGCCTCCTCGCTCTTTCAGGTGGCTTTGATTGCTTGGTGGTATAACTACTGGATGCTTTAGTTGACACCTATCCTTGGATACTTGGCTGAGCCTTGGCCAGCTGCCTTCTGAAAGCTATTTGAGTGCAGCAGTTTGCTTTCGGCTTGACATTCTGCTTGGTACTGCAGGTGCATGCATGGTGATTGGCTGGTGCTGCAGACAGCCGGCCCCTTTTGTTGACATTGGTTCTTTTGTTCTGCGGCTGATAGTTGGACACTTGTTTCTCTTTTATAGTCTCCTAAATAAAGCATGTACTATCTGTTTGAGTTGCATGGTCTTGCATGGCCACCTTATTATGTGGGAGCATGTTCCCATTCCTGTGTTTATTTTTCCTTCTATGTTATGGGAGTTTGTCCTCCCTTCGCTTCTGCACATCTGTACAAACATAGAATCTTGCTGGTCTCAGCATGGTTACTTTTGATCTAAAGATATACTTACATTCTGATAAAAAAAAAAAAAGACAGGGGAGGTTGAAGGGATGACACATGGCTTAAGGGAAGATGATGGAGGAGCCGTTGGAGACGGGCTTTGAAAATCCCTCTTTTGATGCTTTGTGTGAACCCTGGCTTTACAATTGGAATGAACAACGTCAGCAAGAGTAATTGTTGTTCGCGGAGGGGCAGAGGGGGGTGAGATGGACCTAGAAGGACCAGAGGACTGCTATCCACTATAGGATACACTTCGTCTCTGGTTGCAATGGCTAGTGGATGAAGATGGATGGGATGAACAGAAATTGAAATCACGCTGGGCGGACTGCAACACTGATGATTTTTTCTTTGACTTGGCCATGAATATACCAAGCGAATAGAGGAAGAGCCAATCGTAGTCTAGAAAACAAGAGAAGAAATCGTTGCATAAGAAAGTGGTGAAAACACGAACAGTAGCTAGTTTGACCTTTCCTGCAACCTAAAGCTTCTCTCTCTTACTTCTCACTACTTCTCACTAACGAGACCTCAGCCTGGCAGAGGTCTTTTTTTTTTTTGATCAAATGTTAGAAATATATAAATCAAAAAATCTGACTAGCTGGAAAACCAGCTAGCCAGAGAAACATCCAAAAAAACTAACCCTATAGGAATAGGCTCCCAACAAGTACAAGGGAATATGGCCTAAAGAAACAACCTTTTGATTAAACCAAAAGAAAAAACAAAGACAGTTACAAGTCATCTACAAAAACTAGTAACATAAAAGACCATAATAGGAGCTCTTTCTTCATGCCAGGTGTCTAGAGAACATCCCAAACGGAAGGCAGACCAGAGACAATCATAGTATCCCGCGAGCCAAGT